ATTCTTCACAGATTTGATTGTTCGACTAAAGGTGAATCTATCATGTGATTTGAGTATGAAATATACCAGAGAGCAGACTCTCCACATCAACCAAAAAAAAAAATACCATTAGAGACTGAAGTAGGAGACGATATATTGACAACATACCTAAGCACATCTCTTGTGCTCTCACTGTACTCTCCACCTTATCTGCACGCAAAACTTGGTCATCGATGATGTATAGGATGGAGGCTTTTGAGGCTAAGCTTGAGATTGGCCCCAATTACCGAAGTGTTCCACTGAAACTCTTTTCTCAGACTGCACTCGGCTTGCCCATGAGACCTTAATTGGATATTTCATTCCATAATTTTATGTTATAAGCATAGGAGATATCTAAAAAAAAATTTGAGAATATCAACGGTTTGACAACGGAAATTTTTCTGGACCGAAGAGCTCCATGATCCTTTTCGTTCTTACGGAATTGATGTCGCCAATTCATTGCCTTTTTTATCCCAGTACGTAAATCCGTTAGATATCGCCGGACATATTGCCATGACATACAGGCCACGTAACTCCAATGCACTTTGGCCACCAAATTTTCATTTGAGATATCAAACTTACTTTATTTGTAGTTAACTGTTTGAAATAACTTAGTCTGAAATAAGTCATTACTTTTTCATATTCTTAACTCCTTAAAGGAATTGGTTACCAAAATGGGCTTTTCTTTATTTAATTTCAAATTAAATTTGTATCCTTAGGATATATTTTTCTATTAATTCGATACTAGAATGCGTAGATTATCAGTGTGGAAGTCGGAGGATATGGGAAACTAATATGGTTGAGCGTCATGGTTCTGCATATACTTGTAGCATGTGAGTTTGAGTTTTGAGAATTTGCACGCTGTCAGCTAGAGAAGAAGTCTCCGTCTCAACTGCCATGGCGGAGTACCTTTCACCTACAGGCTGTTGTACGTTAAACTGCAAGTTTTCTTATCGTCATAAAGTCTAAACGGCGGGCACTATTCTTACATTATAGTGACCATGTTGGTAAGTACAACGCTGAAGGTCTTGGCCTAAGACAGTGGATCTTATGTGATTTGTGTGCTAATTCTGAAGGCCGTTTTGATAGATATTTGAAATAAAGAGTTGTAATCGGTCTAAACAATGCCATATACCCACAATAAATCTTAAGTCGAATGCTACTAATAGATGCTGCATAGTACAAAACAAACTTGATTCAGAGCTAAATGTCTTGGATTAATACATATTTCTTCCCAAACCGGTAGATAAAATGCTAGTATCTGTACTACTGTTATAAGAGACTTCCGTCAATCTTAGGTTGAGCGGTTGAAGAAAGTCACTTTGAGATATTTATCATCTCAAAATTGTCACTTCACGTTTTTCTCATCGATACGAGTGGCACTCACCTGATACGAGACTCAGTAAAGAAGGTGTTATCATGAATCTTCATGGTGGCCTGAAGGACTGTCTTACAAGGTTGAGCAGAAAATTTTATGTCAAGGACTGGACATGCATGTATGATAGCATGACCAATCCTTGACACACACCAGGCTTCTATAGCTTTACACATCCTAGTTGAAGACATCGACAACTGTAGCCACGTGTGTGCACATAAGGTATCAAACGATATCATGTCGATTACATGCACTATAAAGTGGTCATTTTACTGGACGTATAACTTTCACAACGTGTTTTCAAAGTCACTAGCCTAGTACATGCGGATGCTTCACAAACGTAACTGTCTCTAACATGTTTCAGTGTTTCCCATGTATTTTTTCCTTCCAAAAACATTGGCTCGTGAAGGTGGTAATTTGACCATGAGTTTCCTGATGTCTTTGTCCTTACTAAGAAGTTGTAAATGGCAAGCTCTCATTTGGATTTTCATTTCATATCAACCTCCACGATGAATCGTGATCAGAAACATATTGACTAGGATCAGACCCCAGGTCGTCTTATGTAACCTCAAGACAAACATGACTTACCTGTTTCATCGTGCTTTCACATATAACCACTACAATCGATGTGTTGAATACTGTTGCTTGAACTGACCCACGAGGCTGGGTGAAAATCTCTGGCCCAGGTGAGTAGTGCAGACTGCAAACATGACTTGACTAGAAACTTGATAGCTTTGAGGAAGATGCTCCTAGAAATATGCAAGTTTGCAAGTCTGTCATCACACCAACTCCTTGCTGGTAGTCCCAGAATCAATGAGGCAGTTCTCCTTGTGTTTGCCCCACATCCACTTTCGCTTCCGACTAAGGTGGTACAAATCGCATCGCACTGATAACTACAGCCGCTGAATTTTTTGCGTCGTACACAGAGAATGAATACGGTGAAAGTTGCGGAACCCAACAGGTTGATGGACCAAAGTCAAAAGCTCGAAAGACTTGAGAACCGTTTGCTGATAATTGCTATAGCTGCTTAGATACAATTATAAGTAAGCAAGCAAATCTAGAATCTTCTACAAGTATCATATGTCAATATCAGTCACGATATCTTCTGAGAATTCACTGACTATCAGTAGGAATTTCGTTAGATATACGTTTCTTTCCTCACCACTGGTACAGATAGAACCCCAAAAGACTCAAAGTCTCTGTCCTCTGTGCTCTCCTGCAGAGTACCTGCCGATTGCCAAACGTTTACTTCGATACACCAGACTTCAATTACTGTATACAGGTGGGTTCTAGGGTCCGATAGTCGTGAAGAAAAACTTCTAAAATAGACCAGATCGTCGTAGTGAAGATTATATGAATTCATACGGTGCATCTCAGATTCAATCATCTACTTGAGATCTTCGTTAAATAATGTCTGCGCTATCTGTGCAGGCATGAAGATGTCGCGTTAGAACAGCGGTCATGCGACTGCTTGACAAAATGTACGTGACATTCTGAGAGACTAAGAAGGAACTTGTCACGATCTAGCAGTGAAACGGGGACGTTTCTGTTGATAATATAGAGGCAATGTCTCTGTTTGGAAAATGCCTGTTCCACGGATAGACTTTGAAACTTCAGTTATGCAACAGGAGCGCTTGTAGAAGGAGACTCTTTACTTCCGGTCAACCTCTCCAGGTTTGCTCGACTCTGACAGTTTTCCCATGCCAACCTGCGCCGCCTCTCTCGTACGCGAAATTGAAGGAATTCAAAGTGGCCATGGACGGACTTTCACCTTTTGAATCTGATGTTCATCTTGTCGGGAATATGTTGATCTTGGCTGCGGACACTCTCATGCATAAAAAGGAGAATCCTTTTCTCTTCAGAATCATCTGATCACCTCCTAAATTTCTTGAGCCAAGTCTATGTACCAGCAGCTTCTTGCTTTTCACCTGCTCAACTGTCTATAGATTTGTCCAACGCGTCGGACTCGTTTGTTTCATCACGTTCTCCTTCCTTCTCATGGGGGTTTACTTTACCGACCAAAGTTCCATGAGTTTCCACTGGAAGGAAATGGATCCTAACGATTTCTTCAAGGATGACCCAGATCCTCCAGATTGGTTGGTTCCTGACGAAATGGAAAGGTAGGATTCAGATCTCTCTCATGATAAAAGTACTGGAATCTGATCTCAGATCACGTAAGAAATGAACATATTTTATTTCTTCTCGGACAGAATATATTTTTCCACAATTCAAACGTTGTATATCTGCGACAATTACCATGACGGATCATCTGGTACAACATGCCGTCAATCTAAACTAATGACCACCTCATCAGCTAGTATCAGAGACGTACAATCATGTAGGCTGTTTGAATCTAGACAGATTGTTCGACGCTCTGAGCTGTAATACTATCGAAGTGGTAGCAGAAGAAATTTCATCCTGATGGCAGTGATGATAGTAACTGTTTGTTGTGATCAACAGCATGCAGATGATGGGAACAGAAATTCATCGTGGACCACGTATGCAGGGAATATATATTTAATTTCCCTTTCTCGAGTGTGAATGCATCACCTCTTAACAATCTGTGCAATCTTTACTCGCGCTTGGATCTGATACAAAGCGGCAAGCCTGCTGAAGGCTCGTGAAGAACATGAAACATGATTCTCTGGTTTTCTTCATACATGGTTACAAGGACGTGAGACATAGTGTGTACCTTTTTAGACTCTCTGTCTGATTCTCTGATAACCTCTTCATGAGGACTCTCAGAGCCAGAGTGTCGAATCCGTGAAGCTACTGCTAGCCACGTTCAGCAGACTTTTAATATTCATTCAATTCCAAAGACATCTATTCAATCTATCAACACAACTTCTTCCCTTGTTTCTCAGCGGCCCACTCAATTTGAAGATACAGTCCTGATCAAATTGTCATATTGGAACTCGTGTTTTCAGATTATAATTTCAAGGCTTTATGAAACTTTCAATTGCAGACTGCGTATGATAAGTACCGACACAGGAGAGAAAGAAAGTTGATGCCATTCATATCTTGTTTAAATATTATGTAGATTGCACTTGCATGCTATATAAGAGGTGGAGGTAAACAATTCATTCAAATGAGTTTACCCGTGCCACGACAAGTGTCAGAGAAGAATCGAGTTTCACGGAGTTCCATGCACTGTACGGTTATTGCCCCAGTTCCACTATCACTTCTACATGACCATGATTTTACCTCTTCCTCACCGCAAAAGTGTGTTCAGACGAGCTAAGTTTATTCGACGTTCTAAAGTGCTCTCATTAGTGATCCAAGTTGATTGATGCTCAACAAGTCAACATCGTACAAAGTTGGTGATGTATCTTCTCGAATAATCATTCAGGTGCACTTCATAGCAGGAGAGAGTTGTTGAGAATGCATCTTTTGACCGGCAGCAAAATCGTCACACAGCTACTGTTGTGAACAATATTGGTCCTTTTAGATAAACTTGAACTAAAATTAATCTATGGAACTTCGAGAACTTCCGCCATTGTTCTTAGTCAAGAGAAAAGACAATAAAGTCGCTCACAGCTTCATGCTTAGACAATCAACATATCAGTGACAAAGGTGACCGTCTGAGTAGTGCAACTCTGATGATTTTGACAAATATATCATAAACTTTATTGCTGCATCTTCAAACATAAAAGTGCAATCCCTCGATATTTGCACGTATTCACAGACAAAAAATACAATCTGGACAAGAATGATGATACTAATCACGCGGAAAAAACCCTCGACAGACAAGGCTACCCGCAACTTCAGATTTACATTCAACCAACCGTGTGTAAAGTCTTCCAATCACTGTTATTACAAGATTTGTTTTCCACTCATCCATTTCAACAATGGATAAGTATAATCTTTCACTAGCTGAAAACTCTGTGCCCTGTATGTATGTCAATCATCTATACAAGGAGCCATGGATGTTCCCCAGATGAATTTCACATAGCCAGTCTCCACTGTATACACGATACTGAATACCGCCATGATCTCGACCAGGCAAAGCTTCCGAGATACACGAGATAATTGAAGGTCGAAAGACGTACAGCATTTTTGCACGACGTCAACGTTGTTAAAGCCTTCGAATCCCTGGAGGCAAAGCTGCTGCTGCTACCGCTGATGATGGGACTCCAGCCCCGATTCTATGTCCTCATTCCTTTGGCAGCAGAGTCCAAGCAGACTCTGTGAATAGGTCCCATGATTTCACACGAGGACCCCTCAAACTCAGGATCCCTTGCCAGGAGAATATCTCGTGGAAGAAATTGCGATGCTCTTTCTCTTGCTCTTGCACCGCTCTGTAAATCTCTGGAACTGCTCAACTGTAAATCTCGGCTCTGAAGGTCATTATTTATTGCAATATTGGCGTGAAGGTAGTCCCATTGCTTATAACAACGATAGCCTATCGACAGTGAGTTGACAGCAGTGATCAACCCGTTCTCCTCTACGCACGTTGTAGCCTTGCCGGCTGATCTAGCTTCAGTACCTCAAATGGATAACATTTTTGAAGATTGCCAGTTTTGATGGATCCTCGGTCGGCTGGGTCGTCGTGATGCAATAACCTCGAGCGAATCGGAAAGTCCCTGTTCCCCCGGTGACTTCCAGCTCTCCATTACCCTGTGCATTCAAGCGTCCTTGCATCCCGATGGTCCCGTTTAGCCGTCGGGTCTCGTACACGAAATCGAAAGTGAGGTAGATGGATCCGTCTTTCAAAGAGTTCACTAGTCCGACCACCTTCCCGAGTACCTTGGAGTCTTGGTTGAGTGACTGCCGGATGACATTCGTGACCACCCTGACGGTACCGAATTCCGAGACGCTCAAATTGCCCGAGGGTGTCGCAGACACCACCACGGTGTTATTTGGGGGCACTCGGTTCTCGAATTCGAAGTTCACGAGCAGACTCGGAGGACTGTGACTCGGACCGAACGCATAGCTGCCGGAGAAGGAAAATAGTAATGTTGCGAAAAGAATTACGCTAAAAACGGGGGACGAAACCATCGCGCTTGACGAATTCTAACACCTGTCTTCTTGACGGTAGTCGCTGCCAGAACAACCCGAAACCCTCTGCTCGCCTCTGTCAAATGTCCAGCCGGTCGAAGTAGGACAAGTCCCGTGCAGGATGACTCGTCTGCCTCCAGCTCCCGAAGTCCTCGCCCTTATAGCCTGCTGGAAGATGGTAGCTTTCCCAAGCAGCGAAGTCTTCAATGGCATCACAACAGAACAAGGGCGATCCAGATCGTGGGGTCACCGGGGTGAAGACTAATTCAAACGCGCAAAGAGCAGGACTCTGTCGTTCTTGCTTCATGGCGAAGATAAGATCCTCTCGTATCCTGTACAGCTCTACAGGTTCTAGTTTGGAGGGTGCCTTCGCGAAGGAGCTCCATGAAAGTCGTGATGAATGGCACAAATCTGCCGTAGGTGGTTTTACTCTTCTCCAGCCTCGTGAAGGTGAGCTGGAGACAGAGCATGCGTCTTCGCTTCCTTCAGCAGAGCTCTACAACTGGCACGACGTTATTTGATGGTTTTGCTCAACAACACTTCACTCGGGATGAGGGACTTTGTGTTCCTAGTGTCGATGGTTGCGTCAAGTACACATCTTCATGGGAGACTTTTGCAGATGGGTCATCCTGTTTCGATGGGCGCTTTATGCTACTGACAGACACAAATTAATCTGGCGAATTCTGTACCCATGGCACCGATAGTGTTGACTTTTTCTCCCCGACCCCACAACTTCGGAGGTGCTTGTCAGGTTGTCGCGGGAAGTTTACTGTAATAAACATGATGAAAGAGAGTTGTTTGAGAGATTTTTTAATGAAGATGCGAACCTTCAGTCAGCAGAGCACGTCTCTCGGTTAACAGTTGCTTGTACAGCTCCTTGGCTTCCTCATGAGTTAACTGCATCCCGGCTAGATACAAGGATGGACCACGTTTGGAGAAGAATGATTTTTATATAGCTGCCATGGCAACGGTACGTGCGAAAATGAAGGATCAAATCGTGGTTACTAGAGTTGTTTTACAGATTTGATATTGATAGTTTAGGGTATACATATTATCCAACTGAACTATTAGTTTGACGCGGCTAATTTAACTAAATATATCGTCATGCTAATATGAGACTTTCATCGTTAATGTATTTGCTGAATTTGATAGTTCAGAAATTTTCTTTAGATATCTCATTAAGTAATTTAAATTGCTTATTCAATATCGATATTCTAGACATTTTCAATATTGGGATCTAGATTTTTTGTCTCTTTTTTCATAGATAATTTGCTCGAATGGATAAAATATTATGCCTGTTTATATCTATGTGTTAGTATCTCCTAAATTACGTTCTCTACTAGATTTATGAAATTATTTTATCATCATTTATACATATGATATTATATCGCTAATGTTTTTTTTAGAACTGACAACATATTTTCATAATTTTTTTAATGTAACTATGCTGATCATCATAAGTTTTTTATTCTCTTATAATGGATAAAGTAATCAAATCAAATTTTTATCCGAACCTTGATCTCCGCTAGTTTTGGATTTGCTAGAACTACAAAGTAATCTAATTAATTTATATAACATTATTTGATGCCCTGAGTTTAACGTGTTGTAAGAACCGATGTAGAACTTATATTAAATTTTACATCCATAAGATTATCTCCGATGATTATTCACTATAAAATATCCATAAAGAATGTTCTTCGTATCTTATTTCCATGTGCTGATTTAAGTGGTTTACTCTATTGATGAAATATTCACGTTAATTTAAATATCAATATGTTGATATCCGGTAGTTTTGTTCATTTTTCATATTCACATTACTGGTCTGTTTTGATACAACATTCTCATAATTTTTAATATTCTTGTATTGATCTCACGTTTATTCTTGCTCGATTTAATAAAATATAATCATAAAATTTAAATTCAATGTATTGATCTCATATTTTCTATTTTTATATTTGATAAATTCAACACATCTTGTTTCATCATCCATATTTTAATATCTTTCTTTCTTCTGTTGACAATGTAAGCCCCTTTGTTTAGAAAATAAAATTTTTGCGACTTGATAAGATCAACACATCTTGTTCCATATCCATATTCTACTGTACACCTGATTTCTTTTTTTCTTCGTTTGATAATTTGTAAACTTTTCTTTTTATATCCATGTGGATTACTTTGTCTGAATTTAAATACTCCATATATGCTGACTGCTGCTTAAATAAGGCACAATAGTGTCTACGAAGGTTCATTGTTGCACCCTTACTTGTTTAAAAGTTTTGACGTATCCCGACACTTCTTTCGGTCCTTTAACATATGCCCTCGTATGTTCAAGCAAATATTCAAGAGCAAAGACGACTTGTAAGCAAAAGATCCAAGAAACCAAATTCACATGTTAACAAGGACTTGGGCAAATTGTTATTTGGGAGCAGGTCACGAGGATTCTTCGCCTTTTAACAACTGTAATCAAGTGCTAAAAAATCAAGAAAACTTGTGGTTGGATCCAAAATTTTCTCAGTCCAGTTTCTATCGGGTCTTTTTCGGTCGGATGTTTTTTCCTTCTTATTCCTGAGTCTTTCTGCACCTCTGCAGGTGCTCCAAATTTTAAACTTAGTCTTTTCCTTGAAGTGTGGAATTTGGTGTTACGTACTTCAGATGCGGTAGTGCCACGGTTTTTCACCTGGCACAAAGTAACCAACGAGAAGGGCAACCGCCAATACTTTAAAAAATATGGTCCTTCTCTCCCATTCGAGTGATGTCAAGATTTTCCGTCCCATGACCCTTACTTTTGGCTCATAGTGGAGAGCAAACCATTTCTACATATCATGCTCAATAAACATTTTCACGCTGACAAGGTGAGTGCTGCTGAGTGCCGCATCTGTGCTATCTTTACACTACAATGAATGGACTTTGTACAACTGAATCTCGCTACAAAATCATACATACACTACAGGGGTGAAATCAGGACCAGTCAGCATCCCCTTGTTGAGCCTCGCGGGCCACTTTGATAAATACGTCTTCTAGAGTCGTATCAGATATCCCCCACGCCTGTATTCTGAGCCTCTGTTTCGCCCTCTCCACCGTCGAAAAAACCCGCGCAATCTGCACTTCTGCCTTCGGAAGCTCAAACTTCTGAGTACCAGCAAGTCCATAAATCTTCTGCGAATGGCGTGACAGAGTTTCCACCAAGTCGATTACCTCTTGTTCCTTTTCGACCGGTGTTGTCACTGTAAGGACATATACTCCTCCATACCGGGAAGTCAACTGCATGTACATTTTACACGGACCCAGAAATTTAGAACAGAATTTAGGAACAAAATTCATGAAGGCGTTTTGTGGATATGTAAAGAAGTCACTGGGACGTGCCTATGGCGATCATGTTTTCTCGACTGAATCAGGGTATGAATCTTTCACGAGCTAGATTTATTTGAACTAGCTCAATTCACTCTGAGGGAAAATACAGGGGCCAAGACTTACTTCCTTCGAGTCTCCGATGCACTGCAGCTGGCCGTTCACAAATATGCAGAGCCTGTCGCAGAGTGCCTCCGCTTCCTCCATGGAATGAGTGGTGAGGATGATTGCTCGGTCCTTCTTCGCCTCCTTCACGATGTTCCACAAATTGCTGCGAGAAGCAGGGTCCAGACCTGTGCTCGGTTCATCCATGTAGACCACTTTCGGATCACCGATCAGAGAAATGGCGACACTTAATCTCCGCTTCATCCCACCGCTGTACTCCTTGGTCTTCTTATCTCCCACTCCTCTGTCGAAGAGATTGACACTTTTCAGAGATGCATCGACCGCATTCCAGAGTGCAGGGCCTTTCAGATTCTTCAATCTCCCGTAGAACAGCAGATGCTCTCTGCCCGTCAACTGCTCCCATATGAGATCGTGCTGCGGGCAAACCCCCATGCTCGTGTAGATGCGATTCATATCTCTCGTGATGTCGAGGCCGTGGATGTAAGCCGTCCCCGACGAAGGAGTCAACAGCCCAATCATCATGTTGATCGTGGTGGATTTTCCGGCCCCATTCGGCCCTAGCATACCAAAACATTCACCCGTCTCAACTCCGAGTGACAACCCACGTACAGCATACTTGTCTTGGTTTCCGTCCTTTCCCGGATATACTTTCTTCAAATCATCACAAACAATGGCACAAGTATTGCTCGGCATATCTCTCAGCTGTTCCACCCTTGCTCTCTGCAGTAAAACACATCATTATCCTCCAGAATTTGCAAAAACAACCTCTGAGATAATACCATCAGTACACCAAAATGTCTCAATCTGGTCAAAGAATCCTGACAAATTGCAAAACATGGTTACCCTACCGCCAAGAATCCAGATCTATTCTGTTCATTTGAAATGCGAATTCCCTCTGGCTTTTTTGAAAACAAGGGAGGACTTCAGTGCGTACTTCCGCGGCGACGTCTGGTTTCTCCATATCGAGACCCAGATCTTCACGTTCCCTTTGCGACTTGGATTTCGACAGTGCTCTTTCTTCTTCATTCACGCTTGCGCCTCTGCGCTTCCTGCGGTTATTCCAGGAACATCCGAAGCAGAAGAGAGGATGTCTTTTCACTCCTGCGCCCGAGGAAGCCATCACTTGATCCAGGTAACATGTTACAGCCAAAAATACGATCCACTCGACGGCTTGAATTTGGAAGACGGTTTTCAGTCCATTCTGCTTGTCCTTCAAGTCTCGCCATTGCATTCCTTCGGTGCCCTGGAAATTGCCAATCAAAGAGTACTGACCGAATTCGTACAGGCCCCGGTATAGGGAGAAGCCAGGAAGAAGTTCCATACCAAAAATCCAGCCACCTGCTCGATCACAAGGTTCCGAATCTGATGTTAGAGGGTGGAGCTGACTCTGATAATAATTTGTGCAGGACTGTAATGGTGACGATGCGAATTGTGAGAGGACCGCTACTTACGTCCTGTCTGCAGATCCTCAAGAAGGGCTCGGAAGAAAAATTGTCCCATAAGTCCGAATCCGAATACGTACATATAACCACACACTGATCACAGAACACAATTGTTAATTCACTTGGATGCCTTCCATTCCACGGAAATTGGAATATCTTTGATCGAATCTCAACTATGTAACTTACAATGGAACATACCAAGTCTATCCTTATCCAGCTACAATAATCATCATAATAATGAAGCAACTAACCTGTGGCTGTCTTTGTATTTTGGAAGATAGTGGCAACTAGAAACGAAAGGGCAATCTGTAAATTCATGTATATGAAGAAGAAGACGAACTGCATGCTGTAGGAATTGAGCCGGAAAAATTTGAGACCTGCATTATCCCACCGAATCATCATGTCAGAATGATGTCTTCACGTTGTTACTAAAAGAGTATGAACACAATGTATGCAGCCCAAACGACAAGTTCATACAATCAAAGTCAATGGCAATCTTACCCACAGCTGAGCCGAGCGCCACGAAGAAAAAAAAATATACCAAAGACAAAGCCAGAAAGTAGGCGTAAGTTATAACCCAGTATGCCCCATCTCCGAGACCATGCATTTTCATCATCATTCGCAGGTTTTTCTGCTTTTCGTACACTAAGGTTGTCATAATCACCTGTACAATGTCAAACCCAGATGCCAGTGTTAGTTCCTACGAATCCTTACAACTTCCAAATTTAGGAATGCATACTTGGTACAAAAATAGACAAATCGACCGGGGCCATGTTGTTGTTAAAACACTTAGCCTACATGCACGTTATCCAAATGTGACCTTATGGCCCAAAGGGGGGGGGGGGTTAACAGGACACAAGAAACTGCGCAAAGATGGTCCGAAGCGTGTCACAATCTTCTCTGCAGCGACAGGTGCTGTCGATAAAATGCATGAGCTTGTGATGACGTCATATATACTTACAGGGAACAAAAGGGCAGAGACCCACATGTAAAAGAGGGGTCCCAGAAGGATAGTCAGGTCTAATCGAAGTTCCGATGCAGCTCTTGGCATCTCTTTAAGGAACCACACAGACAGCTTCGCTTGAGCCCCAGTCAAGAAGCGTAAATATGCTTGAGCTGCCTGAAAAAAAAGTTGCGCTTTGTCACACATTCTTTACTGAAAATTAGATCAAGCAGCAAATTCAATAGCACTGGCTTCCTCTGAGGCGGAATCACTGTGCTATGTGGTTCTCATTCTATATTAAGAACGAGAAAAGCTAAACTCAAGGAGCTGGAGAACTTATTATTGCATTAATCGAGCAAGTTGATGCGTACCAGGTTCATCGGCCGCGACACACGATGATATCTGGGAGGTAATGTATTAGGTAGCGATGCTCCGTATGCGTTATAGAACACGCTAACGTTCAGTTTGTCCGCTGAAGTGTCACCAAAGTCGTAGGCTGCAGGCACAAGTTGTTGGAATTAATTGATTATGTTGATTACAGCAGGCGACTAGTTACAGACATCAAAAGTCCTCAGCATCGCCAGTCACTCTTACAAGTTCAACCGATTGAAATGAACATGAAGCACACCCGTCACAAAGTCGTTGTGCTTTTTGTCTCCTGCTGATATTCGGCTTTGGGCTGCGAGATAGATATCCCTGTTGATTTGAGTAACATCTTCGCTGAACGGATATAGTGACGTGATACACCTTGGAGTTCCATCTGTAGGATCCAAGGACAAGTATTAGATCAACCTCGTCAAAGTAACAATGTTCTTAGTTTCAGAAACTCTTGACCACTTCCACCTACCTGAGGCAGTAAGAACGGAGTTGTCAGCTGGCCAACATGAACTGTTAAATTGATCACATTTCCGACTTTGTTTGCAGACTGGATGTGTACTTACTGTAAGGTACAATTAAACCAGAGAGGTTGTAGGTCAAGCTGAGTTGAAAGTCCTCGTTATTGGTGCATCTTGAGTTTTGCAGGACATACAAATCGTCTTTAATAAAAGCTTGTTCGAGGATGAGTGTATCCTCGAGACTTGTAGGGGATCCCTGATATACCATGACCCGAGTTGAGAACATAAGTCTATAGTTTATTCAACAAATATACAAGCTCTAGGTGGTCTCAGGCCCAAGCACTCTTATTCAAATAACACGTGACGAGAACTAGGTGGTATCATGGGCCAACTGCAAAGCTGTCGTCATTTTATGCACATGGAAGATTACAAGCAAAAAGATTTAATCCGGTGGAGATTGTGAAAGCTTTACATTATTATCTGATGACTTACCACCACAACATCCGAGTACTTGATCAGGGGATCCGTTGTATCTACGTCAATGTTGTTGACTATCAGCTGGTTCATCAGAGCTTTTGAATGACAAGGACAAACAGAATGATCAGTTCATTGCACAATGACATACGAACTGCTACTACAAAGCAGGACAGAGCGACTTAGATCTTTCCTGCATAATCATTCAGCTGGTTCGACAACCGTTTACTTTTGTTTATAGGCGTCAGTCATGAGAAAAGGCTCATAATCAGTAGTAAATAATGGAACCTTAAAAGAACTTCCTTATGATGATATCACTTTGTGGGCTCCCATTTTCCACAAAACTCAGACCACCATGTACATGCATCTCGTCGGCCTGATGTGCTTCACTTCCAGCAAGAATATAGGCAGATTGGGCAGCCATTTCAAGCCTATAATACAAACGAAAGGAGACTCTCACCTTGTGCAGTTTGAGGATCTTGTCCTGTGTAGAGAATGGCCGTTCCCCGGAAGAAATCACCCAGGGGATTGTCTGATACGACTCGTCTCGGGTTAGGTACTTGCATTAGTGCCGGCCACTCTGGTGGATGATCAACAGGACAGAAGGCAGCTTGCACGGGATCAGTGGTGTACTGCAAGCCGCAAAGTTGTTCGGAAAGACCAGTCTGAGGGTTGATTCGATCTACGCAACCGCACTTTAGTCCAGGCCTGTCCAGAACTTTGTTGATAACAGCTTGCAGCCCGAAGAGTAATAGACATATCACAACAGGAAAGGCTATAGCGCATACATTCGTTTTGTAGTTCCGCATCTGCAAAAACACAAAACTGTCAAAATCTCTAATCTGGTTTTTCAGAGAAAATAAACCCCGTCAGAAAATCTTCGCTTTCTACCATTTTATTGAAAGCAGTATGTTCCTCGTTTTTTGCAAGAAAAGAAGTGTAACAACCCGAAGATAGATCATTACAGCTGGAATCAATGGAGATTAAAATCAACTCCATATACGCCGCCGACTGTATATCACGAATTGTTGTTGTTATCGATGGTAACATAGGCTTTTGGCAGGAACGTTGAATTGCGATATATCTACCCTCCAACTAAGGATCGTTTCAGATTGTAGGCTTCTCTCAGGACTCGTTTGACATAGAATTGAATTACAACGTTTCCACTCACGTAGTATATACAAGAGTTCAAAAACCAAGTTACGGAGAGTCTTGTAAAAAATGACAGTCTAGAATTTGCAACTCGCGCCTACTTTCTACTCAAGAGCGATCAAGCGGCACAGAAGAGGTTAAAATCAGTATACAATTTTTAACAGACAATGCCCCTTGCATTTGTTGTTTCGGAAAGTTGTCTGTAAGTAAAAACCGGTATAAGCTGGATGTCCAATAATTCAGCGTTCATATAGGCCAGGTTCTTGAGATTTGCTACGAAAAGCCCACATTTACCAAAAATCAGTCTACGACGCAGAACTTTTCGAAGTCCTTCCACGATCAGCCACTACACTGAACAAAAAATGATGCAAGCTCCAACTCTGTTTTCTGGAACATAATTGCTATGGTTTAGTAGGCTGGACTAATAATGTTGCTCCAGGACCACTTGGTTCCGTGAAAACGGATAGACTGGTCCTCATTACATTCACTAATTTATCAAACGTTGCGAATCATTGTTTTGGTTGGATAGTTACTATTAGACTAAATTCATTAAAGGGCGGTTGAATCTCTCATCTGATACATAACTCTTAAGATTCTACTTAAGAGTATCATAGAAATCAGTCAAAGGAATATAACACATTTTTTTATCTTCCTGTATTCACACAAAGTTGTCAAACCGAATTCAAAATAATACTCGAGTCGAAATCCACAGGCAAGGAACCAGAAACAAAGAGCGCAGTGAACAGAGTAGTTGCCCCGAACGACAAGAATTCTCATAAGGAGCGATATCGACGGACCAGGTCTTGGATTAGATGCCAAACCTGAAATATAAGGTTTTTCCGAAGCAAAGCATTAGCCTGGGTTCCAAACGCTGGTACGCTTGACTTCGTAGGAACAGAGCGTTGTTGTCCGTGGCCATTCTGTAAAACATTAGCACTATTTTCCGTGGATTTCATCATTGTGCCCTGCGTCTGCCTGTCACGGGTCGATCTATCCTTCCAAATTCAGTCGTCCGATCTAGCAGACCCTTGTTAAACCTCGATTTAGATTTCTGTCTTTTCTCATATCTCTCCCCTTCTATAATGGCACAATAACTGCTCGCATAGTTCTTTAGTGCTCTAAGCACTCCAGATCCTTTGTTCTGAGTTCCTTCTACTTTCGATCCCGCAGATGAGCTCACTAATTCCTACACCTGTACAGAGTTCTCACGCGGAACTCAAGTGCTTGAACCATGTATCATATGTTCTTCTTCCGAATTCCATTTACAAACATATGGATCCTGCAGGCAAGCGGACTGTGCAGCTGAAAGCAGGCTCATCTCTGAAGTCAAAGCACTTTTTGACATCACGACTCAAGAATTGAACTATTTTTCTGCAGATCACCACGTCGAGGAAGACCAAGATTCTGAAGGCTCAACCCATTCAGAAATTGGGCAAGCGAATTGGTGCTCTGAGCTGAACCATTATGATGTAACTTTGAATCATCGGCCTATCTACAAGAATTTGATCACAGTTGAGGGAAAATTCTTTCCCTGGACAGCTGCGCATCATGCTAAGGGATAAATTCTCGTATGGAGCTCAGAGGACCAACGTTATATACACAGAATCTCCGTTGTCTCGCATCTTGTAGTTGGCCTCCTACTGCTGCACGCCCGTCCGCTTCATTCGAGCGTGTCGCAAACTGGCCACCGGGCTCGAAAACTCGTATATTTAGATGGGAGACTTCCGTGCCCGGCTTGAAAGAAGAGCCTGCCCCATGTTTGACCAATTCATGTGAGGCCTGCGCTGAATTCTGCGAAGGGTACGCCAAAACTTCTTTTCTCTTGCTTCCGGGGCACATCACTCATGATTTCGTGGCACAACCCCCTCGAGTGGGCCTTCTGTGTGGAAGATTCTTCTCACACCTGGGCAAGGTCCGCTCGTCGGTCAGACCACTGAGCTATCCTTTGTCACAATCCGGTGAACAGAGCGTTGACCAGCGCGGAAGGAGCCGGAGACAACAGTCCCCGGTCAAATAAACAAGCATTTCCAGCAGTCGGTCTGGCATGGGACCTCCCATCTGTCCTTATCATGCCTTTAGAGATCCACCTCTTACTGAAGTGCCCGTGGCCTCCCGGACTTTCAATCTATTGGAATACTGAGCTGCAGCGTGTTGACCCTCGAGGAACACATACAGCCAGGGGGGGCTGACATCACTTGTGGGAACCACGGCCATCGGATTATTCCTCTTCTCTCTCATCTGACTTCCACATCGATCTCTTGGGCAATCATTCCAGACTGCAGTTCGAGCGAATCGAACATCGTGTTTTGCACTGGACCAGGCTCCCATAGAAGACAGAGCACAGTCTCGCTCGTTTGGATTTAGAGTCCACCTCTGCAGCTCATGCCTGGCGTCGGTGTGTCGATCCCACAACACGCATGTCTGCCCTCCTCGGCCTCGTTGGATCTGGGGCTCGACCTATCGGCAAGTAGCCGGAAGTCCAAGTTCGAGGCCGAACCCCACACAGCGCTAAACCCCGCATGTGGGTCCGGAGTCCAGAGGGTTTATCTGCCATCTGCGAGCCCTCATGGACCCAAAGCAGATCTACGAATATTGGGCTTGCACTGGATGTGTATCGCGTGGACCCGAAACCTCCCGTGAGACAGGTTTGTCTGAACGTACAGTCGTTGCCATATCTGACACCGAACTGAAGTGGAATGCTTCAGATCAGTGCTCGTTCAGGGAAGGAAATGAAGTTCACTACATGTCGGTACGTTGTCGATGCTGAGAATGTGTTCCGAAATTTAGCCAAATCATTATGTGCGAAGTAGTATCGTACGGACCGATTCTCCCGTCGCTTTCCCGGCGGGATTCCTGCCATTTCAGACGCCGGGGATACCTCTTCCGCCGGGCTAATTCTCTCCAGAGCTGGAAGGTCACCTTTGGACTCCGATGTGAGCGAGGATTCGCGAGTTCACCTACTCTGAGTCGCCTGTCACGCACGTGCGATATCCATAGACTGGTTGAGGCTTCAACCGCGTCGGAATTGATGTTGTTGTAGGGACAAGCGTTTTGAGCAAGGCTGCCTGAGAGCCACCTCTGTAATAGTCAAGCTCGGCTCTACGTGGCCTGCACATATGCTGAACTCTATTTTCCTCCAAATTTCATATACAACTCAACTACGTGTCGAAATTGAATCTCTCTTTCTGTTTTCCCACGCCTCTCCACTTTATGATCTTATCCCTGTATAGTTCGTGATTACCACAGTTACAAAACGTACCCTTGCAGTCCGGATAAACTCTAAAGAGAGAATGTTATCGTACAGAGAATCAGATACCGGTTTGCAGAATCATCAAATTTCCAAATCCAACTAAAGTGATGTCCCATCTTTCTTGCTCTCACTCTGACTCGAACGACCTCCTCATCTGGCTCTATCCTGGGCCAGCCGCCAGCTGGTAGTGAGAACCGTATTTGTAGTACCTCCCCTCCATTGAGAAGAGACTGCTCTGATCTTCAACCAGAGTTGATACTTTTTGGGCCTATCCCCTGGTTCCCCCCTTTAGTTTCATACCTCTACTGATGGGTCTTTCCATCCTTTTTACTTGATACTTGCGCCTTTCGCCCGAAGATGGTATGAATATAGTATAGCTGTGAACTGTCAAAGTGACATATAAATCCAATAAGGCAGATTATTCGGTGAAACCAAGCTCCTTCATTCGAGTTCTTAGTATAGATAGTTCAAAAGCAACCCTTCCACCATCAGGATATCAGGTATTTAATCTATGTCAGTGCAGAACTGCGTCATTCCTAAAGCACTTCGATGCTACGAAAAGAACTGAAGGTTCCTGACTTTGGCGATCTTTGAAATTGTTGACCCAAAACTTCGTCAACGGCCTGCTGTTTGAGAGATTATGGTAGATCCTCCTAAAGCATCTACTCCGTTTACATCTTCGGCAAAGCTATCTTGGATGAGATTGCCAGCTTATCTGCTATATTAATGGGTTTCCCTTCAACTTAGATGAAACTGGTGGCGCATGTAGCATGGCATAAGAAACCGAACGTGGCTTTCTTCGATGGATCACAATCATTGATACATCTGATCCCAGTCTGAACCACAGAGATACTTGTTTGTCGGCGCATCGTTCCGTGTGGAAAGAGTACTTGTTGAACATTCCGAACGAGGAGGGGAACACGCACATCGGAAAGTTAAAAGTTAGGAAGGACGACCACGCCAAGCATGAAAAGACAATCTCAAGGCTGGAACTTGAAAAAAGAATCGCAACTAGGTCTAGTCATGGGTACTTCCTATGAAGATGCTTCAACGTAAGAAAGTTAAAAATATTAATGATGTTTTTAAACTTTTGATGACCCGGCTCACTATGTATCACTTTACATGTTTCTATATACGCATTACAATCGCATCTTTCGTGAGACTGGTCTCTCGAGTCAATCGGAAGCTAGGTCACTCTTCAGATAGGCCCAAATACCACTTTATGTCACAAGCACGACAGAAAATTAATATCCATACTTTCCATGCTCAGCCGAGAAATTTTCAAACAATCAAATATCATGCTTACACATGCAACATCTGGTTCACAAGTTGAGCTCTTTCCTGATTCTAGCTTTAGTTACTGAAAAGTAGCAGTGAAAACACGCTATGGAGCTGGCGTGAGAGAGAAGCTTAATACTACCAACCATGCTTTGTACGAGATGTGACCGAAAATAACTCACGGCATCTCCAAAGTGGGTCACACTTCTGAAGGACTCACAACCTCTAGGCCGGCTTCAGACCGGTTGAAGCTTACCGACAAACACGGAACGCCCTGGGTAGATGGGTAAATTTGGGTGCTCCCTGTTCGTGCCAGATTAACGACCCAGAGGATAGTACAAGGTCCAGCTTCACTGCTCGAATGAGACTTTTTGGATGAAGTCTGCCGTACGTGTACGGTTATGTACCACGAATGCTCAGCGTGTTGTACATGCACCGACGGACATGGCGAGTCCGTGATACAGTATCACGGACTCGCCATGTCCGTCGGTGCATGGAGTACTCTGTATATTCATATATATATATATATATATTCCTCTTCAAATATGGTATTTGTAGGTGCTCGTGCCATATTTACCATAAATAATTTGTGCATTATGCCATAAATAAGATGGAAGTATGAGCTCACGAAGCTCTTTATGAGATGTTCTCAAAGAAGCTCAAAACGCCATGTAATGTCTGCCACGAACTTTAGTATGGACTAAACATTTTCACGTGAAATTGTGTTTGGTATCGTTATATAGATTTTGTGTATATGTTATCGTTATATAGATTTGAAAATACTGCTTTTTTGAATATTATCCATGTTCATTTCGTTAGATCAATATACTACATTTTATATGATCCCAAAGTTGAGTATATTTCCATTGATCGAGTAGGAGAGAAAATGTACTCCACAAAATAGTGGTTCAGATGCCAAAGCTCGGCCAAATTTCATGAATCATAGATTATTTTATAAACTTGATTTTCCAAAATAATTTGCTAGTGTAGATCCTGGTACTAAGTGTGTGCAGTGTGATTTCTCTGTGGTTAGGTGGAAGAAAGATGAATACAAATTTCTTAAATGGATTTTTCATTCAAGTACATACCGCATTGTCAGCAATTCAAGAAAATTAAAATTGTGATCACATTTGTCATAAATAAAAGTTGTTTGATGCCATAATAGATTGATTTATGAAAAATTTGGCAATTGCCAAGTTAGCAGGGGCTTGGGCTGCTGATAGTCCATGATCACCATAGCTGCACATTGCAATCAAATAAATGCCCGCATAACATGATTTGTCATGGGTGATAATCAATCCTTCTTTGAGACTCTGCTGGCCGCTGGCTAGGGAAGTGCTGCTTGACAAACTTATTTCCTTCATATGTGAGTTTTCTTCGTGCTCTTTACTCCATGCGACTTCCATCGCATCTGCATATTTGCCGCATATGATAACTGAAGTTGAAAGACGAATATAACATGAACGTTGTCTTTTGCTTCATGCATGGCCTATATAAAATACTAGACCAGCCATCGTCTGAGGTCTACTGTTGGGAGCAAGTTCGTAGTTGCGATTGATGAAGAACCCGCACACCCCTGTTGACAAATTTTGCGCAGGTATGTAGGGCGAGATGCCCGGGACACGAAAAAGGAAGTTTCATTTTCATGAGGGTCACATAGGAATGGGGAAAGAAATAGTTGTGCATATGCTCACTAAACTATATTGCAGACACTAGTCGTTGAATCGCATGTAGCAATTTTTTATACAATCCCCGACACGTAGCATGAAGAATCTGCTGATATGTCAGTAGAAGGCCAACTCGTAGAGGGCGACGAAAGAAATGTGCATGCGAGTTTGACATAATGCATTCATTAAAGATAACACTGGAGGTGAAGTTTTGCTAAGATATTCAGATACTGTAATCGCAAAGGCCTGCTGGTTTCTTGATTATCGTTGAGCGAGCAGAATTGTTTTCGCTAAATGAATGTGGTCAAAATCAGATCCACTATCCTCCTTATCAGTATTTATAAGCAAATACACGTGTAGCAGGATTTTCTCCTATAAGATATCACTTTTTAACTTAAGAGCAGAACGCGACGTAGTTATAATGTGGGAAGGGACGCTCTGATGGTCAAAGTGGGTCCCTGAAGGACATTCATATATTTCAAACAGTAGCTCTGTTTATAGAACATACAACGTGTCATGGATTGTCCACAAAGTGCTCCGAAGTTTGGGTGGGAATGAACTCCGCAAGAGGAAAAAAAGGAAATAAACCAGTATCACTTTTGAAGTATAGCACACTGTGGTTGAACGGTTTTCTAATACTTTCCGATCGTGTCTATGAAAACTTCTTTACGGGTAACGGTTTGCAACTGTGCTTTAAATAATATTAAGAATAAGTAATTTGGGATGTATATCCGGAAGTATCTATTGGCAAGAACTCTGAACATTTGATATTTTTTTGATGAAAAGTGATCTATGAATTTACAAGGATGTGATTGCTACAAGATATCAGCCATATGCACAACTTTGTTTGCTAGAATTTTGGGATGAATCAACAATTACATATTTCAGCACCTGATTCCAAACTTTAACAGTTGCCGAGGAAGAACCTGCATACCGAGAAAATGAGTGGTGGAGATTCTAGGTGTTTGACCCACTCCGGGTACTCCCTTTGAGAGGTTGGATCTGAATGAATGGGCTTGACTTACAGATATTTCATGCATTGCTGTCAAATTGTGCACGCCGTTTTGTGAGATGCAAATGTTAGCAGTTCATTTAGATCCGGATGAGCGTGTCTTCTTCTGAATAACAACGAAATGAAAACGATGCCTAAAGATTAAAAAACCAACAATTATTTATTTTCTCGGACTCGAATAACTAAATTCTATTCACTTCTACCCCAACGGAAAAAGCACATGATCATGCCGGACCTTATGAATAACCCTACACGGTCGTGTTCTTGCAGGGTGGTGTAACTAGGACTTGAATCATATGAGGACAAAGTACTGTAGTTTCATTCGCATAACATAGGTGACACAGATGAAGGTGCAGAAAAACAACGGGATTCTGGTGATTTACTGAAAGCTCCTCCACCTTTGAAAATAGTCATACTCAAATGCCCGCTGGGACATGAAATCCCAGCATCGATGGGTATGTACCAGGTTCTAATTCTATTATGTGTTTTCGGCACGAGGTATGGTAAAGATTAAAAAGGAATGTGGCTTAAGTTATGTCAGCTAATACGAAGAAGATTGTTTCAAGTGCGAGAACCATGCAAGAGTTCAAGCTTTGTTGTGGTGCAAAACTGAAGACAAGAGGAAAACACAAACATGTCGAACCTCTTGGCTCGACAGGACAACCATCTGCAGTCAAGGCATTGCACTAGGACTATGTTGGCTGTTATCAAGGGTGAATGAAAACATAGAAGTTGAAACTGGGAATCCAGAGGCTCCAACTTGGTGAATTCTACACTGTGAAAGTCTCAAGTGCGATTACGATGCAAGTTATTTTTTCACACTCTATAGTTCATTGACCATCACACGGCCGTGACCTTTTTTCAGACTTGGTTGGGAGGGAGTGAGCGATTCAAGTAAGATCTCATCATAAAACTGATAATTAAAAGTATTTTTGGTACTTGCAAACATTGTTTTCCTTGATGTGTAACTGGTTTAATTTTTTTTGGCGTGTAGATAGTTCCAATTCAAAATGACTTGAGAGGTTGGCGATAAAGTAGACTTGACAATTCTTTTATTAAATTATAGTAGTTAATTTTATATCATAGTAATATATTCGGATATTTTTTGTGACTAAAATCGCAGAAGACAAAATGATAACGTGGTATCATTTCCGATGCTTGGTTTCGAACATGACCAAGATTATGATTACAAAATGCTTTAATATATGTCTTGAGTGAGTTGTCATTTATTACAAAAATCTCATCCGTTAAAAATTTTTATCTAATTTGTGTAAACAAGATCCAGCATTATACAAAACCCAAAAAAAAATTTCATCAATTTAAATATTATCCTATTTTAATCATCAAATTTTTCCAAAAAAATGATTTGAATGAATTCTGAATAAAAATTATTAACTCAAAATTTAGATATAATCTACATATATCACTTAATCATAAAAACGTGATAAATTGGACTAAACTGAATATCAAAACCAAACCTGCAAGCTCGCCAAGTATGAGTGCAATTTAAAAATAATTTATATATTTTAAATGTAATCATGACAATAAAAAATAATATTATTTTAATATTTAAAAAAAATCAATAATACAAATATGTACCTTTTTTTTATTATGAAAATGAATTAGAATCTAAACCTAAATTTTAGATGTAAAGATGGGCATGCTCACACCACTTGGAGTTTCAAGCCGTTTCTCATCCATATTTATCACATCACATTCACTTTAAGCAAATAACTTGACATCATTAGATTACGCTTTGAGTACAAATGAATCCCAGCTCTTTAATCATTTTTTCTTTGCAACAAACCTTTGATCATTCTTGATGTAAAATCACGTTTCCTATATTTACATACAATACTCTATCACATGTTATAATTTTTTTGCATGCTTTGACATGCATCACAAATCAACAATGATATTTATCACTTTATGTGATCAAAGTGAATTTTTCTAGGCTTAATTGTACTTATATATTTCATTCTAACCCATAAGTTTTAATTTCTTTTAAGGACATCAATATTGATTTTATTTCGTTGTTAATGAAATACTCCACTTTTCCAAATGTGTCACAACATTACAACGTCTTATAATTTCTTCTTACATTTTTCATCAAATTCAACACAATATTCATTACAATCTTGAAAATTTAATTAGAAATATTTAATAACAAAATGTGCATACATTAAGTCTTTTAGTGCAATGAGGATAATATTCATATATCTATTTCAAAATAATTTTTCATTTAATCATAATTTAAACAAAAAAATTTAAATTCAAAAATTTTTGAATTAAAAATTTATCTATTCAAATATATCAATTAAAATTAATCCTTTCATTCAGATAAGGAATATTATGGATAAAATATTGTAAATAATTTATCGAGTCTTCAACAATTAACACAATTTTGTATCTTTAAATGCATATCTAATACGTCAGCAATCTTACATTAATTAATCATATAATTGAGTAAAAAATTATTATAAAAGTGAACTTAAATCTTTAGCTCTTTACTGCTTAATCTTGATTTTGAGAAATTATAAAATTTTCATTTATAAATAACTAAATAAATAAGATTCTTCAACTTCTTAAGTTTATGAATATAAATATAAAAATTTAATTGCTTTAAGTTTTGAACTAATGCATAGCTAATTTCATATACAAAATTTAAGTTGTTATTATCCTACTAAATGTTTTTCTTACAAGATGGTTGAAAAAACCAACTTATAAATACAATGCTGTTATAAAATTTTTATAAGTTGAAAAATGTATGTTTTGAGGATGAAAATATGAATGCTTAACCTTTAGTATTTTTTAGTCCATTCTAACTCTTGATTAGTTCTAATATGAAGAATACGATATGGTTATTATAGAATATCAAGATCGTAATTTAAAAAATAATAATTATATAAATAATTATGAAAAGAATTAAAAATAGATAATTTTATAATTTAGAATTTCTTTTCAAAACTTTTAACATACATAACAGTTAACTAATTATATACATAGTAATTTTAGCTTAAATTGAAATAACTAATGAATATCAATTCAAAGAATTTAAGTGTTCAGAATTGTAAAGCTTATTTTCTATGTTAAAGCAAGTGCATATTATTTATTGTCAATTCTCTTACCACTCACCGCAAAGATCATTCATACACAAGATCTTTACTTCAAAACAATCACTTTAAGTCGCCAAGAACCTTTGCAACCTTTTCTAAAACAGGTGACAACCTAACAAGCTTGATTAAATGAGATTAAGTTAACCGAAAGTAATTCTTATCAATGATCCCCTCAACTCATGTTGTGGAAATCCTAACTTCATAACCTTTATAATTATTTTGCAAAAATTATAGAAAGAAACATAGCATAGATACCTTTTTAAATTATAATTAACTAGAACTAAATTAAAAGTAGAACAATGTATGTATAAAAAGTATAAAAAAAATTTAAAAAATTGGTAACAAGTTCTATTTATATTTCTCATATTTTTTATGAAATATAGCACATTATATATTGAAATTCTCCAAAGAAATAATTTTGATGAATGCATCAATCGTATTGAGTTATATAAATCTTGACTGGGTCAGCTACATCTTTAAGAAAATGATATTTTATGTCCATGTGTTTCATCTTATTGTCCATCATTTGATCTATAATAAATTGTAACTCATTTTAACTCTGTGATGTAATCAATCGTTCACTAAGATGTAAGGCATTTTAACTCTCTGATGTACTCTATCGATCACTAAGATGTAAGACATTCTAAGTCTCTGACGTACTCTATGGTTCACTTCGTTAAAGTATTTTAGCTATTAATCAATCTCAATCCTTGTGAGTGATGCAGATCTATCATCCACTTCGCTCCATTATTTTAGATATTGATCAATTTCAATCCTTGTGAGTGATCCAGTTCTCTATCCAAATAGGCATGTGAAGAACACGGGGAATTTCAATTTGAACATTGTAGCTTGAAGCACTTGGTCCTTTGACCTTTCTTTAATAACAAACTTAGTTACAGCATTTTATAACTTGACACATCTTGGTACGTCGGAACTCTTATATTACTCTAAGTCTTTTAAAACTCTTTATAGTGCATGCAGAAAAGCGTAGCAACAACGTAGCACCAAGTGCTGCAGCTTTAAAATGATCATGACTTGCTAAGTGGTGACGATTCGAATTTAACCTCCAATTTGCTCGTATAGAATTCTTATTAAAAGAAAGAAGAGAGAGAAGAGAAATAATCATTCCATGGACGAATGCACGAGGTTGATCATCCAAGGATCGAAAAGATAATCATATACATAGTAAAATATGGAGAAATGAAAAAATAAGATCGTTCGCACTGTTAACATGGATACCATCTAGAAACCAAGTACTCTACAATGGAATGAGAGGGGACTGAATGACAGCTTCATGAATAACGATCAAACTTTTGTGATCGCCTCAATAACCAGAGGAACACCATGCCCTGGGACCATACTGAAAGACATGGTCGGAAGATGGATGTATGAGGGTGAGAGTTGAAATCTGAAATGTTGAATGAACAAACTGACAAGCACTTTGAGCTGGGCTTGTGCTTGAGTTTGTCCTGCGCAGACTCTTGGGCCATATCCAAAAGGATTGTATGCAGCTGTGTCCACGCACGCTCCTTTCATTCCCTTCGCCCAACGCTCTGGTTTGAACTCAAGTGCATCGTCACCCCAAAGTTCAGGCAATCTATGGAGATGGATCATGTCGAAATTAATGCCTAGACCTTTTGGGACAGGATCTCCCAAAAGTGTTACTCCGTCTTCATGTACCTCACGATTTACTTGTGGAAATGGAGGGTATAGGCGCAAGGTTTCCAAAACGAACATGTTTAACTGGCACAAGCAGCAACCAAATGAAACATAAAACTTGTAAGATAACAAGGAAGTCAGTATAGCTGTGGTCTAACACACTTCATGCCACTAGACCTACAATCAATGCAAATGTCAGGACACCGCACAAGCCTCGAATATCGACTCGGGTTTTGAGTGTCTCAATGCTTCATGAAGATGTAATTGACCTGTATTCTGTTGATTTCTGTATATTTGTAATGAGAAGAGAATCACCCCATGATTTGGACGAAGCAATACAGATACGATAATTTCTGGGCAAGTTATTCTGTGACTGGTTTGCATGAGCATCAGAGCAAGGAGTACGAAATAGAATGTCACAATTTCACAAAGTTGTGCAGGTGAACTCACTGAATTCAGATGGCGTAGCTGCTCTAATTCTGAAATTTGATCTTCCCCTAAGGTCTCCGTCAATTCTTTGCGTATGCGTTCTTGCCACTCAGTGTGGTGACCCAGTAGAATTAGTAACCACGAGAAGGCAGAGCTCACGGTGTCATGACTTGCAAAAAACAGTGCCCTTATCTGGTCTACGATATCTTGTTCTGTCCATTTCGGAAGACTTCCTGTTTTCTGGCCTTCTCCTGTTTCAGCAGCTGTAAGAATGATGCCTAACATATCATCACCATACGAAACCATATTTCCTTTTCTAACAGATTCCTTCCGTCCTTCCATGATTTGCTTGATACAGACGGAATAGAGTTTCCGAGCTTTTAGTATCTCCCTGTTCAGCCGAGTTGGTAAAATATATCTGGCACAAAAATCAGACGACCGAACCTCGTTAAGATTGAGACCAACGTCCAACCATGACCCAACCTCATCCATGAATTCTTTACTGGCCACTCAGTCAATAATTTCTGGAATCATTTGGATGATGAACTGCTACTGCATCTAGCACAATCTTAAGAAGTGATTTTCAAAACTGGCACTTTTTCTATTAGTTATTGAGCCAGTCTCTGGTGATAATAGTACATGTTGTTTGCACGTTTTAAACGCCAAACTCCATCCATCTAACGCTAAGATTCTACAGAATTGTGAACAGAAATCATAATCAGACTAAGGATAGTTTCTAATACCTTAGGAGAGGATGAATAACACCTCCGGATTGTATCACCAAAATCTTCAGTTTCTGTTCATGCTCTAGACCCTTCTGAGCTGATTCAAAGTCATTGCCGAAGATTGTTCTGACCGAGAATTCCTTCACCAATGATGCTATGTCTCCTGATAGATCCAGTGGAAGAGAATCTCCACTTTGAGTTACCTTTTCTTCCAAATTTCGGATCCATAGTAATGCACTTTCTTTTGTCCTTCGAACTGTGTCCTGCATCGATCACCCAAGCTGCTATGCTTAGATTGTAAAACAGGAAAATCAGGAACCTCTGACATACCGATGTGAACAAATGCTTCAACCGATCAGCATAATCTCTTACCTTCAATTGTCCTTCATAGAAATGGGGTCTAACAACTCGTCTCTGTCTGGCCCATTCGTCCAGGTTAACAACCAAACCTAGAGAATTTCGGCCAAGCAGCTCATCGGCGAAAGTTGAACTTGGTTTACCAAAAGCGCCTGTTTTACAGCCCCACACCTCCCTGATGACGTCGGGCTTGTTGCCAGCCCAGATTTTAATACTTCCCCTCTCGGGAGCATACACAAATCTCTCTCCTGGATCAAACTAGTGTTAGTTCGGGGACTTATGCTTTTCTTTGGTGACGGTATGCACTGCATAGGAACGTTCATAACTTCAGAATTGCGTCAGTCCACATCGTAAACAGTCGACTCATCGCCATGTCCACAGCATATGTTCTCCTACAGAGGTCAATAAATCAAAATTTATTCTACCCGCTCGTTCCGTTCTATGCTATATATACGTTCATCGTAGACGAAAGCAGAGTGACATGCAGAGTCTGCGACCCTAACATCAACGGGCTCAACCGGTCAGATGCGAACGGGCATGTGAGCCAGCAGCTTCTGTTCTAAGCCAGCGACAAAATCTGCTGATGGTGTCAACTTCAGATTGACACCAAAGTCCCACGAATACCCGCTGTGATTCTAGCTTAGAAGAAAGTATCTCGTCGAGCTTTCACTAATAATGTAACTGTACTGAATCTGAGGCTATCCCAAACAACTAGCATTTGTAGAATTTTGACTCGAGGTGTGACTCATCGCATGCATTCTAGATGATCGGAAATGACATTATTCAGTATCTTTTGTCGGATCAAAGAACAAAAAATTTACAATACCAAGAATAGAATCAGGATTTACCATATTGCTTCTGATATTCTTTGAACTCAGGATAGAGAAGTGGAGCGAGATCATGGCTCAGGGTTGCGATGCCGGACTTAGCAGTGCGGTCATTCCATGCTTGTTTGGCCCTCTGTCGGCACAGATCGAGTTCATGACTGTTATCCAGCTTGAATATTGACAGCGGAGGCCCAGAGTATCCCCTCTTCCTCATGAACCGTAGCACTTTCAGAGGATTCCATAATGTCAGTCTTACTGCTGTCAGAACTGACCATATCACGAAGATTGTGAAAATTGCCAAAAGACTTTCTAAGAAGCCAGTCCTTATACCGTATATTATCATGGGTCCTTTGTCAATTGCTCGAGACTCCTGGGAAGGATGGTCTCGCGCAACGAACACTCAAGCATTCAACATACAGCGTCAAGAAATTTTAAATTTATTTTAACATCAAAACAGAAGTCTGCAAAATTTGTAACAGTTCTAAGAGCAGAACTGTTGTGTTCTGTATCTGTCTCGGTACGACTCACCACGTCCAGGAGATGTCCATCTGATAAATGATTGATGATAAAATGTTCAAAGACAAGACTAGTCCACTGCCACACAACTGTATTGATATATTTGCTCAACATGTGTCTCTAGAACTGTAATCGTAGACTTCGATCAGAGATGTCTCGTCTTATTGATGACCTGTCACAGGAAACTTTTTCTGACTTGTGCTAGTCCTCACCTTTTTTGAAAAAGGAACAATTGACTAGACGAGGTGTAATAATTCAATCATCAGTAACATTCATGATATCGTCATGCAACTAGGAAAGGAAGGAAAACGAGACCTGGGGACTTGAACCATGTGAAGAGACTTAATCATCAGCCGCAGAGTTGCAATTCGATAGGTTAGACAATGTAGTCAAAGCTCCAAGAGTGAGGAAAACATAAAGTCTAGACTAAATTCAGTTGCATGAAACGAAAAGAATTCAAACATCAAAGATCAAACATATGTTCGATCAAAGATGCCAATGGCAATACCGGAAATCGACATTTGATTGATATAAACAACACCATTGGAGAAGAAAAGAAAATTTTGTTTCTAGTTACAATTAAATGTTTCAAAAGTGTTTCGAAATTGAAGATAGTTTTAGTCATTTCAATTACACTGAGTAAAAGTTTACATAACATCAGGTTTTGTTCGAAAAAATTGAGTAATTTCTGTAATGAAAATTATCTAAGTAATTAGAAAAAATTTCTTTATAAACAAGAATCGACTTGTCTTATAATTTTCCCAATTACAATATATGCTAAGATTATCTAATCAATAAATCCATATTTGTACAAAAATGTTAAAAAAATTTAGAGCATTCAAATTTATTCCAAATGAAATAGAAATTTTCAAAGTTAATGCAATCAACGTGAAACTAACACACATGCATTGAGCTAATTTTTAACTATTATAAAGATTGAACTGTTTAGTCTTCAAAATCTTAAAATGAGTCTTGCAAATTAAACCATCATTTATTCTTAGAAAGAACTAGATCTATCAATAAATATTTCAACAAAGTTAAAAGAATAAAAAAAATCAATTAGGTATAAATTTTATTTTACTTTCAAGATTTTCAAGCATTCATCAATTTTTGAATTAAAAACATTATTTTAAAGTAAATATCATTTCAATAGATTCACTTCTGAAAAAATGAATTTATCAAAACTTATCTATTCAATTTAATATTTTCAAAGATAGATATAATTTTATATGTAATAATTTTCATTCATTATTCAGAAATCAAAATCAAAATTTTCTTTCATTTTGTAAATCCGATTTATCTATTTCGAGTATAATTCTCTTTGATTTGTTGATATAGAATTCGCGAAAGAATGCAAGTAAATTAGTTAGAGTTCAGCAGTTCAAAAAATTTCGGAATTTTTTTCTTTATATGACATCATACTTTATGTGTAAGTTACTTATAACAAACTAATGCAAATTAATTTTGAATAATAAACATCTTCAAAATTTTAGTTTCTTTTATATGTTGGATATTTGTCATTTATATGAATATAATTGATAAATTCTCAATATCAGATAACTTAAAATTTCAATCAAATGATATCTATTGGTGAAATTATTTTAAAGCATTTTCTCTGTTAGTAAATATTTGAAAGTTAATAGTGAATTTATATTATAGCATCAATTTAATAAATTGTACGCATAATTTTAACTATAAGTAAAAACTCTTCATTTCTGTAATTTGACAAATTTCTTATGTGTTTTACATTTGTTATTATGAAGTAGCAAATTAGATTATTCTTTATTGATTGATTGGGTAGTTAGCAAGATGAGCACAAGTTAATCAGCTAAATGTGACGTGTTTATAGAAAATTTAGATATAATATATAGGTCTTTATATATATTCCCTTAACCACATATAATGTCTCACGCAAATAGTTTGCTACCACTTTGTGCAAAGTGCTTGTCAATGTAACTACATGTGACTGAGTCTTACAAGATGTATGTGGCTCAATCAAATTCTCACATGACAAGATGTTTTTAGATCTACTCCTTTTTGATCAAATTCATGGGCAAAAAATATCAAAGTCTTCAAACCATTTTTTGACCATATTTTATTCAAATGCCACGTTTGTATTTATATTCTAGATGTTACATTAAAATTTTTGTATTTCTTAGACATATGATTCATTTATTAGAATTGACTTTGAATTGAAATTAACACCTATCAGCTTAATACTAGTTAGGGTTACATTTATGATTCATCAATGAGGAGAGATGTCCAAGATTTTACTCGAAAAAATTTTAGGTGTACATTTAGTTTACTCTTTGATTCCCGTGAACATAGCATGGCAGTGAAGAATCATGTATCTTGTGTCCACGTCGTGTGTATTCATCATGTGCTTGTGTCACTTGTTTGTGGATTTCTTGAGACAAACTTGTGATATCATCTAAGTCTTTAGAGTTTTTCATGTTGATGCAATAAAAAATTGTATGGTCATTTAGTCAGATATATTATGCTCTTATGCTTTTAAAAAAGAAAATGACAGTCAGAAATTTAAATTTTTAGATAGTACTTCAGCTTCTTGCAACATACTTCACAATTCTAGTCACATCAATGTTCTTGTTAGATCAAAGTTCTCACAACATGAGGTTGTGAAATTTATTTCAGAACACTAAAATTAAGTAAATCTTATGTTTATCAACTCCAAAACTATAAAATCTTCATTTTATTGCTGATTTTACTAAATGATATATAGCTTTTATTTCATCATTAAGAAATTTCAATCTAGAAAATTTCCACAAATCTTTTGAATTTAATATAATGTTGAAAAGTTTTGTATACATCTGTTTGACATGTTATATTGGAATAAGCATTTTTTTATTACTTATAATGTGTTTTTTCATTTTAAGTGATAGATACAAAAATTTGTATTTAGGTAGATCATATAAGACATATTTTACAATGCTCATCACATTTTTTTCTGGTAGGCTAAAAAATGAAGTCAATAAAGTGCAAATAATTGATGCATCTCTACAGTGTTCATCATTTTGAGTTTTTTGAAGTATATGTTAAATGTTTAAATGATTATTTACTGTTTACTGTTTTGGACGTTATTTTTGAATCATATCAGTCAGCTTATAAGATTATGAAGCTTCATCTTGTAGAATTCAAAATTACATAGTAAAAGATTGCAAAACATGGTCGGATTCTAACATTTCTTGATATGTTTAATTTTCAAATGCATGAATGAAATGAGTTCTGCTGCGGAGGAATGTCTGTAGTTAGCTATTATTCTATCCTTCATGACATAGGTTGTGAGCTTAAAGATGTATCATATGTAAGTTATCAATCTTTATTGATGGACTTACATGTGTTGTTTCATATGCATATTTTAGGTTTAAATTTTATTTATGAATTTGTATAAAATAATTCAAACAGATTTTCAAATAAAGTGTGATAGCTTTCAAATAAATTCACAACACCATTAAAATTTTCATGACTTTGTGAAATGTTTGATAACATACTTACGATTAATGCATATAAAAATATCATCAGATACTTTTAGTTAATATGTTATATATATGTTATATTTTTTTATCTTGATTTGTGATTGAAACAATATGATTTTTGATATATATGTAAAACACTTGCACATAAAAGTACTTATTGGGTTTGACACAGAAAATTATACGATAAATTAATAAAAAAATGCATCATTTTAATATGAGTTGAGCTTTTATTTTTTTAATCTTGAATTAATTAGAGTTTTTGTTTATAAAATTTACTTATATTCAGTATTAAATCAAGTAGAATTTTTTTATAGAGATTAATGATGTTCATTATAACCTTGATATGCTTTATTTTCAGGTTTTAAATAATATTATTTGAAAATCTAGATAAATATTCATAATGAGTGCACTTTTAAAAATCATTCGAATTTGATTCAATTTGGTTCATTTAACTATGATTGGTTATGTAAGGTTAGCTATTATTATTTAGTTTAAGCTATTTGTGACAAAAATGAAGTTTTTCAGTGCACCAATATTGTAAAATCCATATACGTAACCTTGTTGAGTCAATTCAACTTTTTTTTCTTGAGTATGTAATACATTTGAACTCAATGGATATCTATCAAAATTTTACAAATGATGTCAAAGCTTGAAATATACTAATCAATTTGTTTTGTCACTAATGCAGGTTATAATGTTAACAATTGTTTATTATTTTGGATTTATGAAAAATGACGACTAGTGACGTGTGAGCAGAATTGAATGAAAATAATTTTGTAAACTAATTTGAAAATCTCAAATGAGGTGTGAGCAAGATCAAATGAAAATGCAATGTGTTTGTCAAAAATGCTATGTTGAATGGCAATCAGGTTGAAAAAATTTGGAAATTTAGGAGCAAATTGAACAAATGATTTAAAAACTTGTGATCTATTTCTATCCTTAGTAGCTAGAAAAATCAATTGTTCTGATTTGTGTTTTTTTCATAGTTAACATGCAATGCTTTTTGCCATTTAACCAATATGCTCTAGCATCAACCGTTGTTGAAATCATTGTTGTGCTAGTTTTTAAGAACCAGCATTCATTATACTTACAAAATCATGAAACAAGAAGTTAGAGCAGTTATAAGATGACAATTTTATATTTTAGGGCTACAAAAAAATCCCCCACTCTACCACTTTCCATGTATATAAGTGAATATCATTCACTTTCTTTTCACAAGATGTTTGAGATACTTTTCAAAATATTCATAGCCAAAATTCCATGGTCTAATTTCATTCCAGTTGAAAATCAAGCAAGTTTTTCCAACTAGACATTAGCAATGTTAAAACATCTTTCACAAAAATTGACAACTTTCAAGTCACATAACTCTTAAACCTTATATTCAAATGTTATCATATTAGAATCAATCTTCTTAAGCTCAAAAAGTTTTACCTGAATCTTGAATTAGGATGATTTTTTTAATTAGTTTGATAACTATAGTATGTATATATATTTTGCATAGTTTTTTTATAGTTATGATGCTAAGTTGGCCAACTTCACAACTAAATCACATCTTGTAAATTCAACCAAAATGTCTTAGAAT